AAATTTTTGTACTGATGATAATAGTCCTTAAAAATCGTTTTACAAAAGTATAAAATACCTACACGTACCTACTATTTGAACTWGTATATATGATAACTATATTAAGTCGTTTTTACGAATTATTCGTGTTGATAAATTAATATTAATGAAATAATGACTAATATTTCTAAATCCACCATAGACCTATGGTATAAACCTAAGCCTATATAGACCTTTTATCCTATAAGAACAAAACTATGCTCATTAGAATTTTGATTTCAATACGTCGAAATTCTCAAAAAAATTATCCGCTTGATAATTGAAAGTAAAACATTGCGGTTCTCATTTGAAAACAAAAATCTGTGTCGTCACAGAACACACCTTAAGCAGTACAAAGAAATCTCAACAATTTGAAAATATGGTCTTCGAGTAGGTATGTTTAAAGATTCTTAAAATCAGATTTTGAACATCTGCATTAATAAAGAAAAAGGGGKGTTAACATGCTTAGTGAATCACTCTGTATGTAAAACGTGAAAAAATAAACATATGAGTGAACATTTTATATTTTTTTCAAATGAAACGCATTACACCCGTTTTACCGATATCTCACTGATTAAGTGTAATGTTAAATATGTAAATACCGTAAACTATAATATAACGCGGTAACGATTTCGGGTGGTTAYAATAAAGAATTATTCCATTTGGTTCCCTAATAAAAATGTACGGTAAAATTAACTTTAGTTTCACCTGACTGAATAGTAGTAACTACCTACCTATATTTACAAGTCTTACGATTTCAGGCTGCAATTTCTATTCTCTACAGGATTTTATCTAAATCACACGCGTAAAAGAAAACGGAGAAATATACCTTTTTGGAATCGGAAGCTTTTAAGAATAGTTTTTATTCCGGACCAAAAGACGAATATAAAATTAGCGTTGTGATGTCTGAAGGAGCATATAGTGCTCTTTAAAGGATCAAATGGCTTGGAATGTAATCGCGAACCCCAATACACGAAAATAAAAGGCACTATAATTTTTTCCTCCCTTCCTACATCATGACAGTCGCTATTGCCAGGGGTCGCCGCCAGTGAACAACATAATTTTTGCATCAGTAGACTTTTTTCACATCAAAATATTTATTTCGCGCAATGCCCACATATTCTTTTTTGATAAACGCGTTTACTAGCCCGTGACAAATTKTATTATTTGTCAAATTTTTTATACGTTATATGGTATTATGTTATACAACAGCATGTTTTTATTCAGATATTCATAGTGTTATAAAATGAAAAATATATTCATATTTATTACAAAAATCTATATGCTTTTTAAACAATTTTTTATTTTTTATTTTTTTAATAATACAATAATAATGATAAAATATTTAATTGTATTTAAATCTATAGGGACTTAAATATTTATTAAACTTTTAGTATATTTTTTGTAGGTTTTTAAGCTTATAGAATTATAAAACTTGTGCTTGTGTATGTTTGGTAAGGATATATTGCTAAAAATCTCGGGTGGTCACCCATCCGGGAGCTAGCAACTGCGGCTGGTACGTCACTCAGCGCGTTTTCGCAGTTTGAGCGTACGTCTGCGCCTCACCGAGCCACTAACATATTATTATTTTATTAAAAAAGGAGAGAGACCTTTATATTATTGCTCTGAAACCATTAAATATAAAGAATGATTTATCGAGTATAATAATCTATCTCATTTTCTCTTTTATAATACCGAATTTATTTGAATATTGATTTGTAATTTTAAAATATATTTGAAAAGAATAGATTTTTAGTTAAAGAAGTATATCTTGTACACTGACACTTTTTTTACACAATAAAAAYCGTTATTTTTCCTGAAAATTCTTAAGTCGATTATATTTATTATGCTTATACCTAATGAATCACATTTACCAAGTCCATATTCAGTGGAGTTATTTGAATTTAAATGCAATTTATGTTTACATTAACTTTGCATAGAAAGTAAGAACAAAATATATTTGTTTTTTATTTACACTTATATACAGGAATAAAAATATTATAATATGAAGACATGTTCGCAGCTACATTAGCGAGAAACCGGGTAAATTATGGTGACAATAAATCAAGAACTATTACAGGTGTTATCTAATTCTCCATTAGTCGTGACCAATCAATAATCGATACAGTTTTTAGTTTCAATATTTTGATAGATGCAGCCAGTACCTAATATTACATTTATTACCTATGTGTAGATCGATATTTGCTTGGTTAGAAATAGTAATGTCTTATTCATGATATTTTAAGATTTGTTTACAACGAACGCGTACCTTAAAGGAAAATATAATGGCGATCAATTTTGTCAAAAAAAAAAAAAAAAACATTATTTGGTAAACCTCATACTTATGAATAAATTTGGTTACTAAATATAAAAAGCTGTCGGTAGGTACAATTTTTAATTATTTAAATCATATGCAGTCTTCAACTGACCGCGACCGTGGCCCGTGCTTTATTATGTATACATATAATGAGTGTACGCAAGGGTCGCTTAGTTGCAACGGTGATGCAAATTATCGAACCGTGGAGTATAAAACAAAGTCATATTATTCTATTATTGACGAAGGGTTCATTGAACACGGTGTGTGTGGGGGGGGGGTATAAGACAAAAATTATAGTATATGAATAATAAACGCGTACCTATTATACTACAAAAACCAAAACAGTTTGTTGAAATGATAATATTATGTGGAAACGATGCAGTGATATCCAACAAGATGATAAACAGTATAATATATGAGAAAGTGAGATAGAAATAGACGAAAAGGTTTATACCTAATTGTGCGCCAAGTATGATATAAAGAATGTTCAAATATCATATAAAAATTATCTTTGTATGTATGGTCCTAAGATTTGACAAACCGCACTGTTTACGATTTCCGTGTTATAATAGTCAAAACCAACTCATTTCACATAATATTATACAAATATTATTAAACTTAGTGTAATTAAATACCTTATTGCTGTATTGCATTGCACCGTCAGTCGTCACCAAACTTTTTGGATTTATTTTTAACTGCAACCCACGACTGGTTTAGTATTATAAAAAATAAATAAAAGAAACGATACTATTTCTGATGGTCATAATTTTCAAAATGTACTAAAATTTAAAACTATCCTAAGTGAGTGTTATTATACGTTAAAACGAATGTTTTGTAATCAAAATCATCGTAAAACATCGATGACGTGCTAACATTGTATATTATGAAATGTGATGTGTAACCTAACCTTTAGTTATAACAAATCSGAAATAATGGATTGTAATTTAACGCGCTATGTGCACATATCGTGTTAATAATAATAAAATAACGGCCCGAAAAAATATTTATACTAATGAAACCTGTTAGGCGTGACTAGAAAAAAATCCTCGCTAATAACAATGGAGAAAAAATACTATGTGCTTCTAATTAAAGTATAGAAGGAAACGGTAATGGAAAATACGATAAGAATAAACGTCGGAAGGAAGGAAGGAAGGAAGGAAGGAAGGCAGGAAGGAAGGAAGGAAGGAAGGAAAGAATGCCTGAACGTACTTAGTTATTAGCCGACACGGATGATGACGGGGTGAAAAAAATTCAGAGCGGGGGAGTGCATATATAGTGAAATGTTGGATGGATAGACGGGAACGGCAGCAAACACGGCACGTATGTTTTCTTCGCTACCCTCCCCACTCTCGAGCCGACATCAGTTGCCCCTAAATATATATATATATACCGGCCGGTTTCCACGTCGCAATATCCTATCCGACCAATCCGGAAGTACTCGAGGGGAGTGATTTGTCGTGGGCGCCGGTACCCGATTGGTCGTCATCGATTTTTCCGACGCCGCGCCCCACGCGCGTCCACCGTCGTCGCGCGAGCGGCTCCTTTACGCGCGGCGCTCTGGCGTACCTCGATTCCGCCAGCGGGTCAGTTGTACTGTCGCGTCTGGTCTGATATCATTCTCTCCCGAATTGTATACATCACCACACCGCCGAGCTTTTTCACACTTAAGACAAACACACACTGACACAGTCATATGCACACAAACGCCGTATATATATTGTGGAACACGTGTACGATTCGATCATATATAAAAGTCCACCGTTTTGGTTTAATCGAAATCGACCTTTTGCATACGCTATTTGTACGTATGGCAGTGTCGGAAATAATCGTAACGATCGGGTGAACGATCTATCGCGTGAATAATTATTATGTTGGACATCAAAACGTCGGATTACCTCAGCAGAAATGGGACGTTCCCCAACTTATCAATGATTTTTGCCGGTACGTGTTTGCATTTCTTATTTTTACTKACAGGATATAGCACATACTGTATGTTTTATACTACTTTAATTTATTTCAAATCAATAACTATATACATGCAGTGATACCTATAGCTAGGTACGAGCTTTATTCGTTTCAAATCGATAATATTTAAACTGAAAATCTTATTATTATTATTAGAAACCTACTTAATGCAGTTATTTAGTATTGTATGTTGCATCAAAATACATGGTATTTACATTTATTGCATGTTTTTTAGTTCATATTATTATACTATGATAGGTATACTAATAAATATTTTGAACTCTTCAACTCACAACCACATACTATCTATACCATATGACTGCCTATATGTTTCATTTCTCAATATTAACTTTCTTATAATAGCTTTATTTCTTTATGATATAAGTCTGTGGCCAATATAAATAAATGATTACAAACCGTCTAAACGCTCTATATAGTATCTACTTAATCTATAGTATATTTTAATAATGTAAAGTCAGTAAGAAATTATGACATAAACATGAAAATAATAAATGAAAACCTCTAGCAAGTCTTTCTACATGCTGTATATAGTAAGTTTCGAGTGTGCGTCGTCTTTTATTTGGTCGGGGTTATCGTTTTGGACGTAAAAATTTTAATTCAGTGATAAAATCGTTAAATATGGAAAACGATTCTAATAGGATAAATCTTGTACGCTTCTAATTTTAAGATATAATCATTCACTAATATATTATAATAATGGTAATTTATTTTTCTATTGAAAAGTTATACGGTAGGTCAAATTCTACTCTAATCTAACCTACCTTTATATTAAATTAAAATATTTGTTATAACTAGGGAGCGAACTTGATTGTAATAAAAAAATCAGAATATGTATATAAATATGTAATTATTTTTATCGAAATATATAAAAAAAATATTAAAAAATTTAAAAAAGTATATCAAAAAAACGTATTAGGTAGTAGATATTGAAAATTACAAAAAAAAATATTTTATAAATGAAAGTAATACAAACGATGTAGGTATATAAAACTAGTATTATTCTGGAATATAACAATGCGAAAAACATATTGTTGAAGGTTTGCAAATGAAAAATTGCGACTGTTTGGTCGGAGAATACTCTTATATTAACTAAACGACCGTTCGAATAAACTGTCTAATTGATTTTAATGTTTCCTCGTAAATTATACTAACAATAATTCTTTCGGATGGCACTTTCATCTGGAATTTGTTGTCCGGTATATTTCTCTAAAAAATCTGTGAATTCTCGATTTCTCGATTTCTCGAATCTTGTTAATTTAGACGAAGCAGATAATGTTTAAAGTCGTCGAAAATTAAAAATCACTAAAATATGTACTTGTTTACCAAATATGTAAAAATATGTATTTATACCAAAATATGTAAAAATATTTAAAATAAATTTGGGGTTATTTTAATTAGAATGATCTAAATCGTATACATTTTTTATCAGATTTAAAATATCTCATTCTAATAAAAATATATATTTACAATTAAATCCGTTCCCTAGTTATAACTAATAACATCATATGTATTAACTATTATGTATTTAATATCAGCTAATAAATATATATCGACGTACCTACCACATAAATATAACAGTGTGAATAGGTTCATCGCATTAAATTCTTAATAGGTAGCTATTAAAAATAATTTGAATGTTTTGAAAATTTTGAAAATTTAATTGCAAATAACGAATAATAGTACAGGAAACAAAACTTTCCACTCCTTCTCTATATGAATAGTATTTTATAAATTGAAAAAAAAACCGTTTTTAAATAATCAATGTCGTAATGAATTTTCATGTTTAAAAATCTATTTAAAAACATTGTGTGCCTACTGTGCCTACATATATTTTTTGTAGTTTAAATTTGTACGAGAACAACTTAATATAACCTTATAATATGGTTCAAAATTTTTTACTGTAAAAAATATTGAGTAAATATTATAGTTAAAAAAGAAGAAAACGTCAAAATGACAAATGTCTGTAAATATACTCAAATTCATATAAATATATAGATTAGAGTTATCCAACATATTATTAATATTAATATTTAGAATAAATTTCAAGTAACTACACTTTATCATTTCACAAAAAAAAAAAAAAACGATTTGGTCGAAAAAATATGTTGCGTAAATATTTCCGTTTTTCTATAATTTTTTCTTTTCTTAGTTTTTCCGAATTATTTGTAATTTACTTTTTTTGACACTATATTCTAACTAAATTAAATTTTCTACCAAAAATCATTACCAAAGTTTAAGATTGAGATTTTTACTGCTCCTGAAAGTTAACACACACACAGACCAATAATTTGAAAATGTATACATATTCATACAATTCATCTATCTCTCATAGGTCAGCATAGAACCTTAGACAAACCGTGAACAAAATTTTAATATTTCCAATCATTAATAAATATATCACTTTGTAAATTGTTTTCAATATCATAGAATTAAATAAGAATAATATGTTAAAAAAAAAAAAAATGCAACATAGTAATTAAGATTGGCAGAATTTATTTATAATGTAGGTATATAAATCTACCTTATGGCTATAGTATTAAGATTTATCTGAAATTTTAAATAACTTAACAGTTTATAATATATTATTATGATACCTATACTGGCTATACTGATTACTGATCAAATAAGTTTCAAAATAACTAAATTTTTTGAAGTAGTTCAAGGCGAAACTATATATAGACGTATCTATAGAATAAATATTATGAGTACCTATATTAGTACAAAGCATTATAATATTGTAGTCTAATCTTAACACATAAGAATTATCTTCTACACTTGGATGTAGCGAAATTGCATATCTCTTTCGCCGACCAAAATTAAAATATTATTTATTATTATTTTAAAAGTGGTAACTATGACTTTTCTAAAATTATCCTTACCAATATAATAGGTGTTATCGTTCACTAACACAATAACTTTAGGGCCATGACTACTCATAATTTAAATCTTAAATTCTATTTTGAAATTCTAATTTAAGAGGTAAAGGTCGGGGAACTGCCTATTTTTAATAATTTAAAAATTAATATGAATTTTACTAGCAAAAACAATACTTATTTTTAGTTAATATTATAATTACTTTCACTAATCAAYTATGCAAATTCGACTTCAAAACTACAATAATAAAAGACAAAATAACAAACGCGCCGTATTTTAAGTAATTTAAATAGTACCTATACTTATGAAAACTTAACATTATTGCTATTTTCTATGTACATATGAATATATCATAGACAGTATGCGAATGGYATTAAACATAATAAGTACAAAAATAAAAAAGATAATGTATAAAAAACTTAGTTACTTATTTCCTTTAAAAAAATGATAAAAAGTAATATTTACAGAAATTGTAAAAATGTATGTAGTAACTACGTAACAATAAGCATATTTAATATTGTCACTGCCTCATACTAAACGATTAATGTCTATTCAGTATTGGGGCTAGGTAAATTGAGTCCGAGATAAGTTTGGTACATTTTGAAAGCGGTAAATTGAGTCCCGGGGAAAAATAGGTAGTAGGTAAGTTGAGTCCCGGAAAAAATAAGGCAGTAAGTAATTTGAGTCCCAAGGGAAAAAAGATTTACCTATATGCATTTAAAATTTAAAAATGTGCACTATAACATTTTTATTTGTGATTTGTGGACATTCATTGACTGCATGTATATGATTTTGAAAATAGCAACATGCATTTTTATTGCATAAAAAATAATTATATAATTAATAAAAATTCAATTAAAATGCATGTTGCTATATTCAAAATCATATAGGTACATGCAGTCAATGAATGTCTACAAATCACAAATAAAAATTGTATAGTGCATATTTTTAAATTTTAAATGCATATAAATCGTTTTTCCSTGGGACTCAAATTACCTACWACTTTATTTTTTCTGGGATTCAACTTACCTACTACCTATTTTTCCCCGGGACTCAATTTACCGAGTTAGGGTCATTTGGGACTCAATTTACCAACCCCGTCAGTATTCAGTGTTTGATTGTAGATTGTATTTATCAGTTTTGAATTTGAATTTAAAATATATATAAAGTTCTTAATACAATAATTTAAACTATTAAAATTATTAATAGTATAAATTAACTTTATATATATTATTATAACTATATTATTTGTAATATTTGATTATAATCTATTGTTCTAACACTTATGTAATTGAATTTTTTTTAGATACTCATTATAAAGGATCATGGAGTACACATTCATCAGGGCAAACACAAGGTGTGTATTTAGAATTATTTTTTATAAAATAATTTAATGCTATATACAGATTTCAGATAAAAATAACTTTACGACTGAATTACTTATACATTAATAATAAAGTAAACAATCCATTCACTATTTTTCTAGCATACAATTTATTAAAATTTTTGTAACTAAGTATTTTTGTTGTTTCACATGTAAAACAAAAGTATTTGATTAGGTATTCAAATATGCTTAAATAATTCCAAGGTAACAAATACTAATCAAAAATACTAGAAAAATTACTAAAATTAAAAGTTTTTTTTATTATTCCTAAAACAGGCGTAGGTTCTTCTCGGAGTTCAATATAATTAGTTTAAATTATACTTATAAATAAATTACGTTACTTATTAAGAAGTTATTTTTTTATTTTATTACTTTTCACAAAAATCGAGTATTTTGCAAAATTAATTTCATTCAATTACAAAATGGTATAAATCAATTGTGTGAAATAGATATATATATATATTATTATTTATTAATAATTTAAATAATATCAATATCATCGTGCAAAATAAGAGTCAAATTCAAGAACGTCTCTTTAAACGATATAAATGATAACATGAATATGGTAGAATATTTGAAAAGAACATTTTGTTAAAAACATTAAAAAGGGGAAAAGGTTATCCTAAATAAACACATGGCATGATTGTCACGTTGTCCAGTAAAATCAATAAAATCATAAAAGAGACCTTACCTTTTGATCGTCGACTAACTTATATTCTCTGCTTTTTTACGTCCCAATCAAGTCAACAATTTTAGGGGTGAAAAGGTCTAGTATAACAAATGCGCTTGATCACGTGCGAACACTATCAAAATGTTATCGTCTGAGCCGTTTCGGACAGACAATCAAATAACATCCGCATGGATGAGCAATTCTTCTTGCATGTAAAGTAGATGTTATCCATTGATTTTTTGTTGTTACTCTGTTTTCCTCTCCCTCTTTGAATAGGATTATCACGAAGAACTTAAACAGCATTTGTATGTTTAAAAAAAAAAAAAAACTATACAACGAAAAATTGAAAAAAGTTTAATATACTTTAATATTTATACTTTATAATAGGCATATCATTTTTGATTGCAACCACACCAAATCATTATAAATTTAAAGTATAATTTAAAATACCACGTGTGTAAGTTGAAAGATGAAATTTAATTTTAAGCTTACTAAATTTCTAAAAAATTAAACATTTTATATATAATACAATTTAATAAATCATGGGTAAGTTATTAATGGCTGCCTAGTAATTAAAATAATTTGCTATAATAGTTGATTATTTTATATTTGCGATTATTATGATACATATTGAATATAATATTAATTCATTACAATAAATGATAAATTTGAATAAATATAAACATGCAGAAAAAAAGAGGCAGGTAAGTCGTGGATTTCGCTCTGCTATGTACAGTAGGTTACAAGCGGGTTACTGTAAGGATGGAATTAAATCTGAATCCAATGATATTATATCATTGTATACGAAAAACGATTCTGAGCGAAGACGGTTTATCTGTCTAGGATATATTATAGATTATTAAAAAATTTCAA